AAAGGAGGCTGCAATGCTTGATAAGAAATGTACGCATCAACCTGCCCATGTAATTGTAATCCCTCTGTACAGTGTGTTCACAAAAAAATAAAAATTAAATAGAAAAAAGAAAAAATATCTCCCCAATGTTGCATTGTTGAAAAATACCACATTAAAATAAGAAATAAGTTTAATAAAATGAGCGTATTAAATAGGTGAAAACACAGGCTGCTGGGCTCTGTGGCCATGCATATCACACAATCTCCTTCTTTCTTGGAAAGGTCAAAGTGTATATAGGCTGTATTTTGAATTAAAAAAGAAAATTACAGAAACTACCTAGGAAGTAATCTGGCCTGGTGTTTGCTGAGCTGCCTGTGCAGTGCTGGTCTGGGAGATGGTGCCTGCCACAGTGGGAAGAAGAAAGGTCTCACCCCAGGCACCTTTGGGAAAACAGCCAGGGAGTCGTGTGCACCTGCCCCAGTAGAGGCCCGAGGATACCCACAGGGAATAAACTGCCTAGGTTTAAAATAGGTTTTATCACTGGTTCAGTCATAGTCCTGATTCATGCCAGAGAGAACCAATGAGAGTAACTGCAATGGGTTTCTTAGCTGGCAAGTGTAAAGAAGGAGCCGCAGGACTCATGCTCTCTCACGCTGGCATGGAACAACATCCCCGGAACTTTTTCCAGCAAAACTTGCATGGGATTTCCTTGGTGGGTATCAGTCCCGAAAGCTCAGAGCTGTGGAGACAGCCCTGCCGTTGCAGTGGTCAGGGGCTGTGCTGCCCTTGTGCCTGTGCCTATTCTCATCACCCTCAGGGGAGCATGAGGGTCTGGTGTGCAGAACACAGCTCTGGATTCTCAGTGAAGTCTGGGAGGGTGAGGTGTCTTGCTTAGTGCTGCTGCTGTTGCTGTGAACCTGTGAGGGTCTTGTGAAGAGGGGCAGAGGGAAGGAGCAGCGTAGGCTCTAAGCAGGCAGAGGGGGCAGATTTGCCTGGGGAGTCTCAGGAAGAGGATGGTTGGTGAACTCTAAGCAGGTCTGGAGGTTTATTGGCCATGTTTGCAGGTCTTCAGGGGTCTGAGCTCAGTGTAGGTGGAATTTCCAGGTTCTTAGTGGCCTTGTTAGTATCCATTTTCCAGTAGATTTGGACAGTCTGTAACAAAGATAACTCCTCTAACAGTACCCTGGCTTTGCCTGATGGCAGAGGCAGGATTCAGCTCTGCGGCTTAGCAGAGCCCTGCCTGAGTGTGATGTCCTTGCTGTTGATGACATGGTTGTTTTGTTTAGGACATGTGAATCCTTCAGCCTGAGTCCATTGAGCCTTCTGGGTTGTTTCTGTTTCTTTGGAAGTAGATGGGTTTTGTTTGAACTAATCATGTTTTCTTTCATGACATCATTTCAAAATATCAAAAATGAAATGGAATTTCTCGAAATTGTTGCCTCCACAAAGGCTACTTATTGAACTAGTAACCAACTCAGTATTGCCATTGACTAGATGTGATTGAATGTGTTTTTTTACCCTCGTTAAAAAAAATTGGATTTGGTATGGCGATGGGCTTTACTATCCCTTTTAATGAATGACTCAGTTTCGCTGAATGTTAAAGGTTTCTTCAGGAAACAGGAGTAGCCAGATTGTCATCTGAATATTGACCTAGACTACAGGTTTCATAATATCTTTGGGATAACTATGGCATTTTGGGTGGGAGAGTTGAAAATGGCAAAAAATAGTTTTGAAATGTTTAGAAGTCGTTGGAAACAATCTGTTGTCTTTAAATTACGTACGTGTATTTCATAAGATGATATGCTGATTAAGTCCCTCTCCCTTTTTAAAGTATTGTGACAGCTTATCAAAGGATCCAAGGGCAGCTGGTGTTTGAGACTCTTCTGCCTGTGGCTTCTCCCCTTCCCTTTTGGCCTCTGAAGCTTCTCTGCTCTGGGCTTCCTGCGTGGTGGGTGGGACCTTGAGTGGAGCTCATGTCCTGGCTGGGCCTCCAAGTCCGACCCTCAGGGCTGAGCCCCTGTAGCATATTTAAACTTCCTTTCCCTTCTAGTTTTACTGTGAGGATCTGAGAAGTACTAACAGTATTCTGAGTAATACAAAGCTAAACAAATGTAATGTGACACAGCTTATGAGTATTTCCTGGGTTTATAGTTGGTCACTACTTGATTACCTGAGCTAGTATAAAGAATAATACATATGTGGAAAGGAGAAAATTTTGATAGGCTAGGTGGCAGGACTCCAAATTCAGGATTGTCTAAGCAGGACCATGTGAAGGTATATGTAAAGAAAGTGTTTTGTTTTTTTGTGCGGCGGTTCCCAGGAAATGGAGAATAGTGTCAGTCAAGTGTTAACTGAACTTTTCTGTTTTTAGATATATAGATCAAGGTCGAAACCCCCAGCTTTACACCAAAGAGTGCCTGGAGAGGGCTCTGGCCAAACATGAACAAGTTAAAGGCAAGATTGACACAATGAAGGTAAGACTCTGAGAAAGAGATGGAAAAGATGCCTAGCAAAATGTGGCCAGTAGACTTTGTCATTCTTTCCCATGTGACACAATTGAGATTTCTGCCTTGAATAGTAGCTGGCTTAGTATCAGGTATTCTTAGGTCTCCTGGGTAACCAGTTATTTTCCAGTTAAGTCTTTCCTGTTAGCGTGGGTTTGTACTTTGGTGTGGAGATGACTATGTTGTATTGATTCTAACTGGCAGAGGCCTTTCTCGTTGCCTGTGTTCTTTGGTTTACAGGATCTTTTTTTTTTTTTTTTGGTCAGTTGTGGGGCCTGAACTTGGCCTGGACTCTGTCCCTCAGCTCTTCAGCGCAAGGCTAGCACTCTACCACTTGAGCCACAGTGCTACTTTCAGCTTTTTCTGCTTATCTGGTGCTGAGAAATCGAACCCAGAGCCTCACGCATGCAAGGCAAGCGCTCTACCACTGATCCACCTTCCCAGCCCTGATTTACAGGATTCTTTTTTTTTTGGGGGGGGG